TGGCTCCAGGGAGAAGGAGAAGCGCCGCTGGCCCCAGCGCAGCCGCTCCCGCCCGAGACGTCACCAACCCGGAGAAGGCTGGGCGCGCGCCATGGCTGGCTGGCTGGCTGGCTAGCGAGCTCCGAAGCCCCGCAGCGCCCCAGGGCGCGCTCAGCGGAGGGTGCTGTCCAGCGAGGCGCCTGCAGCCCTCTGCTTGGCTGGCTCCGCGCTCGTTCGTCCCCTCCTGGGTGGGAGCTAGCGAAGGGGACGGACTGCTTGTCTCCCCAGTCCCCAGCGCGGGGCTGGGTCGCCCAGCGCCGTCCGGGCGGGTGGATGAGCGGAGACAACCCCGCGGCGTGCTCTCTGGGGTCTGGGAGCCCGCGGGGCCCCGAGCCCGCCCCACCGGGTTCTCTGGCCTGGCGAGCTCAGGGAAGCCTCGGGACGGGTCGAAGCCGGTGGGGCCGCGAGGAGGAGGTATCGGAAGGCTTCTGTTTGGCTAAGAGGAGATGTGGACGCCGCAGCCGCGCGTCTCTCCACCTACCGTCCGAATCCACCCCAGGCCAAGCCAGAAAAAAGAAAGAGAAAAAGTGGAGACAGTGAACTCAGCAAGAATATGTCCTCAGAAACCGCACTGCCCCCGAAAACGCCAGCCCCGCTGTCCCTCTCCTAAAGTCCCACCGCCTCCTTATGCCACCGCTCCCACCTTGTCCTCTGATTGGCAAGCTGTAGCATCCGCTGTGCCCGAGGAGGTAGGGAAGGGCTTGCCTCTGCCCCAATCTCTGCGTGAACTTGTCCAAGTCGCCTGCCCCCTCGGAGAGAGCTGATCTCAGCCGAGACCCTGATCAGCGCTGCAGTTCTATGGTTTGGGGCTCATGTCCCTTCACACTGCCAGAGGGCAGGTGCTGTGTCTTTAACTCACGCAGCACCCCCATCCGCCAGCCCCTGCCTGGTGCAGAGGAAAGGGTCCTGGAAGTTGCAGAGTAAGTATAAATCGGAGGGATAGTGGTGGACTTCTCAGGGGCTTGGCTCCCTGTCCTTCCTGAATGGGGGTTGGTGGGGAGTCACCCCAGAGCCTCCATCAGAAAAGCCAGATCGGACTCCAGTGGGTTACTCGCCCCAAAGAAAGGGTCAGGGATTGCATCACCACAATCAATGACGTTCTAATTGTGAAAGTAGGAGATGTTCCTACTGGTCAGTTATCTCCCCTCCCATCCCCCAAATCCAGCCATTAAAGAGACGATACCTGACCCCCAGGGCTCCAGACCTGGCAGGGTGGGACCAGCCACAGCCCTGATTGACAGACCACCAGCCCCTGCCACGTTATTTGACACAGGTTGGCTGTCACTCCAGCCTTCAGGTAATACTAGACTACTGCCAAGCAGGGGGAGCCAGTGGGAACAGCACCCTCACCTCCACGGAAAGGCTGCTCTGCCCTCTGCCTTTTCATCGGTAACTAACATCTGGACCAAGAGGACCATAAGAGAAAAGCTGTCCACTCGTTTGCTCGATTGTCCACTCACTGACGGTCATCATGTTGATTCTGACTCATAGGGACCCTACAAAGGGTTCCCAAAATTGTAAATCTTCACAGAACAGACAGCATCTTTTCTCTCCTGAGGAGCAGCTGGTGGGTTTGAATCAAAGACCCAAGACTTACCCAACAGCGCCACCAGGGCTCCTGTTTGTCCCACCAACCTCCAGGTATTCGCTCTACATCCTTTTCTTCCCAGGCATCTTTTTTCCTGTTAGAACTCAGATTTAACAAAACTCCTCCCTGCATCCTCCCTTTGTCCTTCACCCAAAGGACTTATTTTGTAGCCACCCCCAGCCCCACAAACCTAGCTAAGCAGGCATACCTGGGACTCAACAATTGATTGTGGAGGGAAGGCATACTTCCAGATAGAATGTGCTTGGCCTTCGTTCACCTTGTAGCATACACTAGATTAAGTGAATCTCTCTTGGTAAAATCTGAAGGCGTTTCATTACTACGAACAAAAGCATTCTGTGTAATTGGGGAGGAAAGCATGTGTTCCTTACAAAGGGGCATTTCCTCTATGTTGAGTGTTTTGAGGATGTGAGACAAGACATTTTTATAGACTCCTTTTAACAGAAGCCATGTAATATGGTGAGCCATGTGATTCTGTCTGCTTTTGACCCCACAGCTGGTTAGACAGGGATGGTTATTCTCTGAGTTCAAAGGGTCAATTCATTCCATCACCTTAAGCACATGACTTGTGTGACCTGGCTCTACCTCATGAGCTGAGGCTGTTAGATTTTTCTCTCTCCCGAATCCAAATGAGATACTAGCTTGGCTTCCAGGAAACACTAGATCCTGGTAGCGATGGTCTTACTGGTCTGTGGGACTGGCCTTGCCATTTAGGGGGTCATGGAGCCCTGATGACATAGTAGTTACGAGTTGGGAAGCTAACCACAAGGTCAGTAGTTCAAAACCACCAGTCACTCCGTGAGAGAAAGACAAGACTTACTATTTCCCTAAAGAGTCACTGTTTTGGAAAACCGCAAAGATTTCCCTACCCTGTTCTATAGGGTCACTATAAATCAGGATTGACTTGATGGCAGGGAGTTTGGCTTTTGAGGGATTTTTTAGGCCAGTGGCTTAGTTCTTCGCTGCTAATCAGATGGCCAGTAATTCAAACCTACCAGTTGTTCTATGGGGAAAAGAACTGG